GTGTAGGTCAACTGGCAGCACAGCGGAGAAAGGCCAAAGCCAACTTGTACACAATCGGCCAATTCTCCAGTCTCCACAATTTTGTCATGGCATCAACCAGTCTCACAGAACGCTTTAAGTTTTCTAATTCTTTACATTTTTAATGCCAGCATACTATCTTCAAGTATGAGTTAGGTGAAACATTGCACAAAATGCAATGTCACCCTGAAGGCACCATGGCCATTTCTACGGAATCGGTCGCAAGTACTGCAGGAAAGCGAAAAACGAAACCAGGTTTTGTTTTTTCTGGCTGCCACATTTCTTAAATGAGATTTCCTATTTTCTTTCTATGATTAATGAAACTGGGTAAGTGCAACCCAAACCCTACCTTAACAAGTAATTTAACTCCCTCATAATTAACCCTATCCCCAAATCCAAACTATTAGCTTCATCAGAATTAAGTTCATGATAATTATTGTTAATAATTGTAAACCATTGTGTTATTGGTTAGCTACTCTAGTTTAACCGCTTGCATAAGGCATTTAATAATTAACTGTGACTGATCACTATATTTGTAGTCTAATTAACTAGCTGTCGTTTAATATGTAAGTACCGTAATTGTAATGTAGGTGTAAAACGATTAATGTAATTTCAAATGCAATTATTTATAGCTGCAACTATCATTACCCGATTTACTGTTATTTTGCTACCGTCATTGTAATTAAATTGGTCTAAATTCATTGCCTTACATATGCATTATAAATGATTTTATATTATTATTTTGTTTATTGGTTTCATTTTATTTATTTCATGTTATCCTTTTTACTTTCAGGAAGTTCAGACAGACTAGCTTTAGTGTGTCTGAATGGTTGAAAGGCCATGACAAACTTGTAAACCCACATCACAGGTCAGCTGGCCACCTGCGATGACCAAACAGCAAGGAAGATTATAACAGAAATACTTTATTACACATTAGCAGATATGCGCAATATGTACAAGAACATGCGAACTACGTTTGTGAAACACTTTTTACCATCACATTATACAAAAGTCAAAATTTCCTCATTCAACCCTACAGCCAATATTTATCTTAAAAAAAAAAAATAAAAAAAACTATTCTAGAACATTTTACCTTATTTATTGAAAATTCAAAAAAAGAAAGGTATAAAATAAATCCCATTCTTGAGCTTTTAAAAAGACTTAAAGAAGAAATTAGAAGACATTCAATCTCAGCAGACTGTTTCAAAGTTAATTTAAAAAACAAAAATGTTGATGCAATAGATTTATCATATAATTTAAATCCTGCAAATCCATTTTGACACATATTCCCTTTTAGAAAAAACTACTAAATTTAAAGAAATATATGCTGTTATAGATAATAATCAATATCAGGGATGATTGCGACACAAAATAAAAAACCCTGAAAATTTTAAGTGCAAAAATTCAATATCAAGATATTAATTTCTATACCACGCATGTTTTGTATTTAACATAATGTTTTAACAAGATTTATAATGAAATCATTATGAATATCACATTACTTTTTAAAGGATTTAGCATGACTTAACGATAACAGGGTGATTGTGAGCCGAAGTTAAAATTCCGAAAAATTTCTTGACTTAATATTTAAATTGAAAAAAATTTAAACAAGGTTTTTTTCCTTTTTCTCAATATGTCTTAGTTTACTTAAAATATATTTAAAATTTTACACATAACTATGATGACCTGGAAAAGTAATTAAAATTTACAAATATGTCTTTCTTTCTTGAATTTATGATTATAATAACTATTTACTGATAAAAAAAATGAATATTAATCATGAATATATGCTTATAAAGTATCAGGCTCTCCCTTACAAACAAAAATAAACTGTGTTTTTAAGTTCCACCTTTGAAAATTTAACTTCCGGAAACTTCTGTGATCACTGTTAGAGAAAAATCCGGATTTTTTCTGGAGCACAATCAGCCCTGCTATAATAAAGTGGCGAATTATATAAGCCTTTGAATTATTTAGAACAGTGTTTCTTAACCTTTTTGATATAATGGACTCCTTTTAAAATTTTTTAAGAAGTCACGGACCACCCTCCTGTGAAAAAAATAATTGTAAAAAACATCAATTATTAGAAAACATTTAATTTAATTATTTTAATAGTATACAAAATTTTTAAAATTAATATTTTTAATGTGAAGGTTGCTGCTGCTTTTCCTTAATTAATAAAATGAATTGGGGGATGGTTTTCGAAAAAGCAACGTGTATATCATGTTCAACATTCAATCGATTTGGATGTTATGTTTTTATTGTCACAAGTGTGGAAAATACACTGAAGCAAACGGAATTATAGCGGCCATAGCTCGCTTTACAAGCAATGGGTAGGCTTCCAAACGTTTTAAAAATTAGGAGTAGTCAGCTGTCCCCCAAAATATAACTCATGGACCCCTTAGGGGTTCATGAACCACAGGTTAAGAAACCCTGATTTAGAAATAGAGGTGGATAAAAGCCTGATAAATTGAATTTATTAAAGCAAGAATCACAATTAATAAACTACCACACGAAAATATTTATTCGCTATCCGGAGCAAGCTGGCATCTCTGTAAATACATTAACAAAATGCTTCAAAGCAATTCCTTACAAAATGCTTCAATAAATTTTCAAAGACTTATTATAAAAATATTTTAATGAAATTTTTTTAATTAAATAAAAATTTTTTTTAATTAGATTAAAATTATTTTCAAAAAATACTTTTAATCACTATATACACTAACAAAATGCTAAATAATTTTCAGACTTTACATGATCATGATAAAATAACTCATTTCTAACAAAAAACTCTATTCTTGATTATATTAGTCGTTATAAAATGATCGACAGATTTTTTGGTTCGACCACAGAGGGTGGAAAATAAAGTCAGAAATTGAGAATAGCTTGCAAAATGCAGCTGAGTTGCACAAGAGAGAACAAGAATCTCAAACTCAACTCAGTAGACAGACATTCGGACTAGTAAGTATTTCATCAAACATGTAAAATTAATGGCACTTTCACATGCTATGAACCAACGGTACGCTGAAATAGATTGTGAAAACGTTGAATAGAAAAATGTGAAAAACACGCTTTTGCATACATGGCAAAAACTGACATGGTAACGAGAGAAAAAAAAAACTCATTTACAAAAGGGGAAAGTTAAGCACTTTTTAAATACACACCTTTAAAAAAGCACCTTTAAGGGCTTTTAAAAAACGAAAATTGAAAATAAGCACCTTTAAGCACTTAAAAACGCAACGTACCGTTTAATATATATATTTTTTTCCTACAAATCATGATTGATTATCATACAAACATCAATAATTTGAATAGTTTATAACCTCAAAAACTTAAAAAGGCAACCGCAATCTATTTTTCGACATTCCAATGAAATTTTTAGGTAGTTGGACACTGAAAGATGTTTAATTTAATAGCTGTTTAGTTTAAAAAAAATAATTCAACCTTTTGAAATTTTTTTATTTGTCATACCTTTATGTTTATGCAATTTAATTATTTTAATAAACTTCCATGGTTTTGAAAATTATTTTATTATTTGAGGATTACAACTGGTTAGCTTCACAAAGTTTTCCTTTTTTTTTTTATTATGCATAGTTTAAAAGTGCTTTATTTGAGTTTTTGGGGTAACAAAATGTGTTTAAATTTGTTAAAATTACTGCTTCATATCCAGGGTTGCAAAAAACCCACCCTTAAGTAAGATTTTCTAAAATTGGTTTCTTTTTTATCCTCTGTTACACATAAAAAACTAACTGTGTTTGGAGACTGGAGGAGTCACTTTACTGGCTAAATTTGATTGTATGGTCATTAATTGGTCAGTCCCTTTGATTTGCTTTCCATGCAAAAAATAATAATTTCCTCAAATATTTTTAAGATTAAAATATAAATAAAAAGTAATCCTGCGTTAAAATAAGTTTCAAACATGTGATGTATGTGAGTAACATTTTGTATTGCGATGTCAGAAAAAAACTTTTTTTGACTTATACACCAATTTACTTGTATTATTTACACTTTAATTNTTATTAACAAAATAATAATGAAGATAAACAAATTTGTGAAGGGTCCGATTAAAAGAAAAATCATTTTCTGAAGGGTCCGTTTTTAAGTTAAAATATTTTGTGAAGGGTCCGTTAACGGACCAAAATTTCTTCTAAACAGATCCCTGAAAATATAAATAAAAAGTAATCCTGCGTTAAAATAAGTTTCAAACATGTGAGTACATATAACATTTTGTAATTGCGATGTCAGAAAAAAAACTTTTTTTGACTTATACACCAATTTATATGCATTAATCACACTTTAATTACCCAATATAACCCAGAAAAGCCCAATAAAACACACCCGGGTTGTCTTCCAGAAAAATCCGGGTTATGATTTATGATTCATATCCTAAAAATGATTTATTTTATGCACGTTAAGTTTTTTAGTTCGTTTTAAAACATCATGGCATGTCATAGGGGTCTAAAGCATATTTGTGCCCACAGGCCCTGCATATTATTAAAACGGTGCTGATGATAGTTCTGAAATACTTTTAGGTACCTTAAATATTTTACTAACCATGAACTGTTAACCATAGCGATCTCTATACAAAGGTGAAAATCGGGTTAAAATATTTGTAGTTTATTACTATCCGCTTTTGAATTGACAAATAATCAAGAAAATAACTTTTGAAAATGATAGGCAAACTTCTGTAAGTAGTTATTAAAAGGAGAAATATTTTTAGACGATAGATTATTGACGGCTGTTCAAATATTAAACAATTATGTTCGGTAAGTCGAATGTCCGTGTATGTTCAGTGCAAGTTGAATATATTATGTGCAAGCAATAACTTGTGTATAATTATGACTCACAAAAGCTTGCTTGTTTTTGAATATGTAAATAAGATACATACAGTTTTCTTTTAGGTTATCGCGGTGATTTTCTTTTAGAATCTTATCAGTGCAAAAAGAAAAAAAAGAGAAGAACGAAAAATACAGCAAGAAACTCACCGTAAGAAAAATATCACTAGACTGGGGACCAGTAAATCCAAATGACATGAAATAGCACAATTTTATAAGATCACAATATTGTTTTCAGAGCACATATTCCACACCCACTACCATCGCTAGTAAGCTTGTCACTCCAAATCATAAACACTAAACACTCTGTAAACATCAAAGCAAATTTTACTTTGTGCATTTGTATCATATCGATAAGAAATATCGTGCAAATATTAATCGATTTTTTAGTGTCGAAAGTTCTCGTACAGTGTGGTCAAATCGGTTGTCGCTGCATTACTTACAAGCGATCGCAATGATCGAATACGCCATCTGGGGAGAAGACGGTTCCATGCCTTTGACCCTTCCCACTCCTCCTCTATTCAGTTGTATAGGAATGTACTACTATACTTTTCCATTTCTTAATATTTTACGTATGCAATTGTTAAAAATACCAATTAAAATTTCCATGATGATTTCTTTTAGAACAGTGTTTAATGAAGAAAATTATCTTTTACATATAGGATCCTTTAATATATCGAAAAACTAATTAAATATATAATATAATGTAAAAAAAAAAGAAAAAAGTAAAAAAAAAATTTATACACAGACACTTGATTTCAAACCAAGAACACATTTCGCATGCTAAACTATCGTGATAATATTGTAAAAGAAGTTTATAAAAAAAATATAATAAAAATAAACTAATTTTCCGGGATTTTTCGAGTTTTTAAGCATTATTTGAAATTTCGAAAATAAAAAAAATTATCTTTTATACATAGGATCCTTTAATCTATCGAAAAACACATTAAATGAATAATATAATGCAAAAAAAAAAAATAAAAGAAAAAAAAAATTTTAAAAATTGACCACAGCCGGAGTTCGAACCTGCACCTCCACGCTTTAAGGCGTAAGTCACTAGCACGCAGTCTTAGCCGTTGAACCACATTTATACGGGGATCGGGCTACTACATAGATTCAAGAACCCTTTCCCGGTTAGCTAAACAAAAGATTTGAGGGGTCTTTCTCGCCCCTCTAATTAGTCTATAAATATTTTCCTTTATTGGGTGGATTGGCTCAACGAGGTCAACTTTAGATCCGAGATACAAATTTATAGCTTAATATTAAAGGGAGTTAGACGGACTTGAAA